GCAGCCCAGCAGCTTCCTCCGCCTGACCGCCCTGCAGCCTTCGCTGCCTTCCTCTCACACCCACGTGCCGCTACCTGACCGCATGTACCGCTATTGTTAGCGGCTGGACAGCTTTCGTGTGTGGAAGGAAGGCGCCACCTGAATGGGAAATATTTGCAGTTCTCTCGAGTAGGATTTATTGCTTTACTCGATAACAACAGTTTTATAACAGGAAAGTCTTGTATTCAAACAATGGAGGACCTCCAAAAGCAAAGGACTGCAGATGGGTTTGTGCTGTTGGAATTGAAAGATCCTGGGATCCAGGCGCTGACATTGACTCAGCTGTAGCCAGGGGGCTGGTCAGGCATTTTTGAGCTTCCATAAGGTCATAGGGAACAATAAGTAGAGCTGAAGGTACGGTGCTGTTTGCCCTGCTTAGAATATTTGAAGTCCAAAGCCAGGTACTTTTGCAGGCTACCAAAGCAGAATGCAAGAAATGAGGACACTGGTGTGGCTGGGGCATGGAACTCTGACAGTGACCAGATGTTTCAGGGGAGAAATGTTGTCATGTAGTCTGTAATGGTTTTATACCTAACAGATAGGGGTTTTTTACAAGCTTTTATAGAAGAAGAAAATAAATGAATGAGAAGGATCCCCAGATCCTGAAGGATGGAATATTTAAGAGCTGGGAGTAAAGAAAGGATTTGGTAACAGCATCAGTGTCTGATTGAGTCCTCTTCTCCAGAGACCTGTGGTGCTCATAACTATTTTCATAGCCCACAATAAATGAATGGTTTTGCTTTTTTTCCCCTCATATCTGGAGTAGTTTATATCCCAACTGCAGTGTGATCATACAAAGTTTGGAAGTGTCATTTGTTCTGAGCTTTTGTGGGGTTTTTGCTGCTTTTTTATTAATTGTGAAAGCAGCTGAAAGCCAGTCTTCCTGAACCTTGGAGATAAAAGCAAATGCCATTTTTGGGATAATAAATACAAAATTTTTAATAATTTAACAGAAAACAAAAATTGGGGGTGTATGTATGCAGTAATGGAAGGAAAAAGACAAATCAAGTGTCACATAAGCCATAGGTTTACATGGCAGGTAGAATCCTGTATGAAACACCTGAATTAGGGGAAGGATGCATCTATTTGAATTCAATGAATCAGCCTTTGAAAGGAAGGCAAGAAAAGCTGCTGGAAAACAAGGCAGTTAAAGCTGAGATGTGAAATGGAGGTTGATGAATCCATGTCTGTGTGCTGACCACGGGTCTGTGAGCAAACAGTGAACACTTGCCAGGCAAACAGAGATGGACTTCCAATGACAGAGCACAGATGGAGAAGAGGAAGAGACAAAAGCAGAGGACTGCACAGAAAGAAGAGGTATGAAAGATGTGTCCTGAAGCTGGCATCCCCCCGTGTTCATCAGAGCAAACAAACGGAAAAGCAGAAGACAGAGAGTGGCTTATTAAAAACCAGCGACGAATTGAAAATGCAGCAAGAAATAGCAGCTAAGAGCATTCAGATCAGAAACTGCATGATGAAGATGCAGAAAGTACAAGGAAAAATGAAAGAAACAGCAAAAACCAAAGAGGAAGGTGGTGGGCATGTGGGGAACGGGGGCGTCTCCAGCCCTCCCCCCACCAGGAGGAAGGCAGCACTGTCAGATTTATCAGCCTAGGCTTTGTCTGGCCAAGTCTGAAACACCTCCAAGCACGGCTTGGATCTGCGGGGCTGCAACTGGAACCTTCTAAATTGTGAGCTGGGTGTGCAGCAGAAACAGAGCTGCAATGTACCAATATCAGCAGGATTCCAAGTGGTTCTGTACAGCCTTCTTCAGCATCTAAGGGTAAAATGAAGTGTCTGTCGTGTGACTCGACAAAGCTCTAAAAGCAATATTCACATCAGTTCCTCAGAAGTGAATTAAATTCCTGGTAACAGCCCACTATGGTCTTTGCTTTTCCTTTTTGGAAAAAAAAATGGAATTTCTGCTAATGAATGGCATGTGATCCTAACAGGGGCATGAAGGAGACAACCACAGGATGCAATGCAAGGAGATTAAAAGAAAATAAAACAGTATTTTAATTTAGAGGAAAACAAACAAAATATATGATTGGATATGTAAAATGAAGAACATGGAAAATACAAGGCACTTGTTCTGTAATACAAAACTAAGGAAACAACAACCGAAATTAAAGCAGTGGATGTAGAATGGTCATCTTTTTAAATACAAAACATAGCTGTGGGAATTGCAGCGTAGAGCCACAACTCCAAGCTTAATAAGATGCTTTAAAAACAACTACAAACATTTCGGTATGGTGCTGAGCATAACAAAGGTGTACAAAGCAGTAAAGCCCTGCTTCACCAGGGCAGTCGGTTATAGGTTATATATATATATCTCTCATTTGCCTGTGCTTAGTGTCTTCTCATGGGCAGATTCCTCCATTTGCCCATTGCAGCACTTCATGTCTTGTTTTTCCTGAAGAATGTCGTCCTCGCCATCCTCAGACTTACAATACAATACCTAATTACACTGAATACTGATCCAGAAATCCCTTTGCTTCTAAGAACTCCCTGAAGTATACAGAAGTGTCACCTTTGCTGTTGGCAGTTAAGATTTCAGGCCTGGATTGACACTTTTCCCCTTCCTTCATGCACCCCCAGACACAAACAGGGATTTTCCAGCCCTGCTGCCCCAGGCTGTGGCAACAGGAGGCGTTTCTGTAACCGAAAGGCAGCGCAGTTGTGTCAAAGCTCATCCCAACAGCCTCAGCCCAGCTCTGCAACTGCCCACATCCTCCTGGGCCCTTCCTAAGCTCAGGCAGATCGGTGCCTCCTCCCAGGTTGGGTCACCCACAGACCCACTGGCTGCGCTCCGTCCCCTCATCCAGATCATCAGTAAGGATTTTGAACAGGGCTGCACTCAGCGCCGACCCCTGCAGAGCCCTGCTGGTGCAGCTCCATGCTCTGCTGCTCTGCTGCCGGCCAGCAGCCTTTTACCCTGTGAGGAGTGCAGCTGTCCCAGCCTCGGCCTGCAGCTTCCCCACAGTGCTGAGGGAGACAGTCAGAAGCTTTGCTGAAGCCCAGCTAGATTTCATGCACAGATGTTTGGATTAAAATGAAGCACTTTACAAATGGCTATAAAAACACAACTCAGTCTGAGCTCCCAATTTTCGAATGAATAAATTTTACATGAAAATGCTTTTCTGTTAAACATTGTTATATGCTTTTTCTTAATTCTTTGCCTAGCTTTTCTAATCATAATATAATATGAAGACTTAATGAAATTTCATGGAAAATTATCTTTATTTCTGAATGCTGAAGAGTAATTTACATTGGTGTGCAACGTTTTTGAGTATTCAGACCTTACCTCTTCAAAAGAGGTTCTGCGAGGAGACTCACTGCTGTAAAACTTATCCTTGTAGTACTTCAGCTTCCGTGTTCAGCCGTTACTCCACCTAAGGGTGGATTATTTCTAATGGAGCAAAGTATGGGAATGTTGATAGCAAAACTCAGGATGGACTCAATGAGATGTCCATGAACACATGCAAGTCTGGACCTGACCGAGAGAAGCCAAGAGGTCTTTGCAGACGACAGGCTGGTGGAGGGCTGGTGGGCAAGGCAGGATTCCCACGCAAAAGGAATTCCATGCACTGATGTTTGTCTCACAACTACCTAATATTCGGTTTTACTTCCTTCTCCTCTGCTTCATCCTCACTGTCATCAACTTGCTGGATGACCAGATCGGATGACCCATCCTCCACGATCTCCACATCAGATTTGTTGTCTTCCCCGTAGTGCCACCTGGAATCCTTGTCCCCATCGGGAGGAAATTCAAGGGGTGCTTCAGCCTCCAAGTCAATGCGAATGCTGTCGATGCCGGCCTCAGCCAGGCACTCATTGCAGAGCCTGTAGCGCCTCGTCCCCTCCTGCACCACCTGCCCCGTCAGCTCCGTCACGTGGCGCTTACACTTCCTGCAGATGAGCTTGCAAGCCTGATGAATCTGGGAAAATTGAGAACAGATTTATAAGGTATCAGAGAGAAAGCGCTTTAAGATGATAGAAAGTAAAGCCAGAGTGACATCAATGGTGGCATTAACTCACGCTGAGGGCAGTCAAACACTGATCATGAAACATCCTCAGCAGCTGCAGCCGTGCACTTCATCGCTATTACAGAACTCACACAGTGCCTGTGTGAGCCAGCAAAGAAACTCATCCCCTTCATAGGAATTATGCTTCAAATGCACTTAAACCAAATTAATTATCTATCACCTCTTCTTTACGGGAGTCAGCACATCGACCAGGCAGGCTGGTGCTGCGTGCACCCACGCTGGGGCAGACCTACGCACCGCGCAGCAGGCAGGGAGCGGTACGCACTGTGCGGAAGTGGCTGCTGAGGTGATCCAGCCTGCTGAACCTCTTCCCGCACGCCTCGCACGGGTACGGCCGCTCCCCGGTGTGGCACCGCAGGTGGCGCTTCAGGTCTGCCTTCCTTTTCACCATGTGAGTGCAGAATGGGCACTTGAACCTCATCCTGGGCAGATCATCTGTTAGGAGAGAACTTGGTTGTGAAAAGAAGGCATAGCACATCCAACCTCATAGCTACTGCAGTTACAGAAGGCAACAGAAGCAGGATAGAAAATCGCTTCTATTCAAAAAACATGCTGTAGGTTTTTTCAGGTACAGCCTTGTGTAAATTACACAGGAGTGCAACGAGGGAAAAGGAGTCAACTGCTAGCTATATTAAAGTGAGCTTAAAAAACCAAAAAGATCGTGACCATATAGCTGTAAAGACGCTGAAGAATATGTACTTTGAAAAGCTAGACTTCATCTATTCATCATTGTCAAAGAGCAGATCTCAGCTTTCCAAGCCTACATTTGTGGAAAACAGAGCATTCCTGGTTAATGCCTGCCCTCCAGCAGTGCATCTTCTCACTGACACGGGCAGCACAAAGACTCACCCCTACCTTCAGCCCAGCCGCCCATCACGCCGACAATGGAGGGCATGCTGGGGTACTGCTCGTCTGCTTTGGGAGACCTGGATTTGCCGGAAGGTCGGGGCGAGTCGCGCTCCTGCTGCGGCACGGCCAAACTCCTGGAGAGCACATCGG